CTCACTTCGCCTATGCAGTCCTGTTCTGATTGGATCGAAGCTCCCCGACACTAAGTCGAAGCGTTGCGATTCTTAAAAACAGCGGTATTCACGATAATGGCTGGAAAACTCTTATTTTACTTACCCTTAAAAGCAAACAATTAAACACAAAAAGCGCATCTACTCTACTAGCTTTACACACTTTGACATAGACATATTCCGCACCATGGTTCACACACACACATGCAAATTTAGCTGCTATTGCATTTTGCCTGCATTTAGATTTGCACCGACTCTACCCCTCCAGTGTTTACTTTCTTTCTTTATTTAGTTTCAATTCACCATTAAAATCCAAATTTCATATTTTAGTAAAATATTTTATACTTAATTTACTGCTTCCAGCACTCAAAATTTATTCTAGGTTCAAGATTGAGGAGACTTTAAGATTCACACCTGGGCGGAAAATCCCGTATTCAGACACAGTTAAAATGCAGAATTTTGGTTAAACAGGTATTCTGCTTACCTTTTCTATGTGGCCACGTGTCTCAGATACAGGCTGTCCGTCCCGGTCAGAAACTCTCGGCCTCTGGACTCAATCTCCTGGCTGGCTCGCCAATTGTCGGGTCGGAAATAAGGACCGGCCGGGCCAGTAAAAGACCTGGTCCCTACCCTAACCAACGTAATAAACTCAATAAAATTACTCTATTAGATTTCTTCTTTAGTCAAAAAACTGCATAGTCAAAAACTTCACTGGAGACGGTCAAGAGTCGGTGCAAAAGAGTTTATTCCAATAAAGGACCGATAAACCCGAGCAACATCCCTGCAGGTCACAGGATGGAACCGAGTTGGTGGTCAGCGAACATCGCCTTATATTCACCTTAAGCTCCACCTTGTCTCCTCCCTTCAGGTGGGCGTTACGTCTTAACTCCTCCTTATCTCCTCCTTCTAGGTGGGCGTTACACCTTAACTCCACCTATGGTGTTCGCTGACCATTCCTCCCCTTTGGTGGATTTCCTGTCCTCTACTGCCATCTAGTGGCCTTTTTCTTGTACTGTTTTACCAAATTAACCCTTTCATTAATGTTACAATTTCCACTTTTTAACTATTATTACATGTAATTATTGTTACCATTTATCTCTCTTTATATTTTTACATTACTGGATTAGAAATCCACCAATATGTTTCAACTTCAGTCCCACCGTATTTTTTTAAAAGTTATACAGGCATAGTTTGACACCATTAAAACTTAAACACTTACAATCGTATTTTTTAAAAGAATTAATAAGAAATAACATATTTCATACATGTATAACGTGATTCAATGAACAATTACATGATTCAACAATGCCAACCATGAGAGTGCTTTGTCTCATACAAGTTAACTTTCGGCAGCACAGAGCTTGGTTTCATGCAGTACCTAGCCGTACCAGGTGCCATAAATCACAACATGTCATGATCTCATTCTTGGCTTCAGTTCGCGATGATCTCAGCCCTGGCGTACGTGACTTACTGCATGTGCCTTGCTTCTAATGAGTGGGTTACGGTTGGCTAGGTTTTGCCTGCGCGGCCTGAGCAGCTTCTCTGCTCATGTAGGCTCATTAAAAAGCACACGTTCACAGAGAATAAGAATAATATGTGATAAACACACAGAGTATAAGAATAAAATATGAGTTTGAACATACTCATTAAACACTCAGTAGTTAAACACTCAGTAGTTAAACACTCAGTAGTCAAACTTCACACTAAAAGAATACTCAGTAGTAATAGCCGTACCATTGATAATGTGTATAAATATAGAAAAAGAACCTAACAATCAATCTAGGATTTAGGCCTTACAAACCATTGATAATGTGTATAAATATAGAAAAAGAACCTAACAATCAATCTAGGATTTAGGCCTTAACGTATTCAGGCCCTATTCAACATATTTAGGCCTCAACATATTTAGGCCTTATT